CATTCAAGTTTCATTTAGGAAAGGGTAATAAGCCAGTATGCATATGTGAATTCAACGGAGTTCGACCCACCATCATTAAAACGCCTTACACACGTTACTGCGTTCATTCCCCCAACCCCCCCCAAATCCATCATGGCATCGTAGTGTGGGGCATGCACACGGCTGGATTGGATCAAAGAGAGACTGCAGTTCAGGAGTTAGATTTGTATGAGCAACAAGCAGATAACTGGGGGGTTTTCCTTGGTCTGCATCTGGGATGGTCAAGAGCGCCTTGCACTGCTCTTATGGTGAACACGCTTGAGCTCGTCCACTGCTTTTCGTATCTGCTTAACTGAATTGCTTTGACTTTGGTTAGTCACAGTTGTACGTAGAGGTCAACTGATCTCTCAAGTCTCTGAAATCAAAAGATAAAACTGTATAACAACTGTGAGACTCTTTTAAGATACAAACACTCTAACTGGGAAGTCAAAAAATACGTTCAATATGTCACTATATGTTGCAATGTGTGGTGTTAATTATTATGCAGAAAATTCGGAGAACAGTGTGGAAATTAGGAGATTAGGAGGTGTGGAAGTAATAAAGATTAGTCAGAGGGCCTAGAAGAGGGGTTGTTGAGGTGTTGGTTTGGTCATTTAGAGAGAATTGGATCAAAGTAGACTGACATGGAAAGATTAAATCTATAGGGGAAGGAAGGAGGGAGGGTAGGGGGTTCGTCCTCGCGAAAGGGGTATGGAAAGAGGGGGGTAATGGGGTCTTGTAGGGCGAGAGGGGCTTGGACTTCCAGCTAGCGTGTTGAGCGTGTTAGCTAGGAGTGATGGAAGGAGAATGATACTTGGGACCTGACGATTGTTGGAAGTAGTGAGCAGGGAAATATTAGTGAAGGGATCAGGGAACCGGCTATTTTATATAGTAGGACTGGAGTCCTGGAAATGGAGTACAATGCCTGCACTTTAAAGGAGGGGTTTGGGATATTGGCAGTTTGGAGGGATATGTTGTTGTATCTTTATACGTATATGCTTTCTAAACTGTTGTATCTGAGCACCTCTTCCCCCCCAAAAATCAGTGATATGTGTGAAGTGTGGTGAAAGTGTTGATGATGATGAAAGATTTTGTTTTTTGGGGATGTTCTTTCTTTTTTGGGTCATCCTGCCTCGGTGGGAGGAACGGCCGACTAGTGAGAAAAAAAAAAAAAAAAAAAAAGTGTTGCTTAAAATATGTTGACCTTTTTAATTAACCTTTTCAGGGTTCCAGGCCCCAGATCTGTGTCAGCACCAGTGTTCCAAGAAATTTTCAAAAAAAAAAAATTTGTTATTTTTTCTTATGAAATCGTAGTTTAGTAGTTTTGAGAATCTTTTTGTGAAGGTATAAAACAAAAAAAAAAGTACGAAATTTGGTGGGGAGAAAATTGTCGAATTATGCCTCTCAGCGAATTTTGATGTGTCTGCGATATTACGAATCGGCGTTTTTGCCGACTTTGACTCCCATTTTAGGCCAATTAATTATTCCAATCAACCAAATTCTTAGCTATTTCACTTGATTACTTCTATTCTATCGATTGAGCACAAGAAACTCGCCAAGTCAACTGTTTTCAAACTTACAAAATAAAAAGTGATCGGAAATTGTTAATTTGGCCAATTTAACACAAAGTTCAAAATTTCAATTTCAAAATAGGGCCATCCAGAATGAACAATGTAGGCATTCCTGGCACTAAACTAACATTTCCTCTGTTCATTAGTTATGTTTTGAGGCCTTTACAAATAAATTCCATTTAGATTTTTATTCACATTAATGAATTTTTATTCCACACCAAAAATAGAAGATTTTACTGTATGCTAATTGGTGTAATAATTGTATAAATCATCATCACCATATTTGTGAATGTATATTAGACCCACCAGGCTGGTGTGTATAGACGTGTTTGTGGAGGTCGTTTGTTATCTTGAATATCGGCAAAAATTTAAACATTTCTGCTACTTGAGCATCAGTTTCACGCCATTTCCAGTGCTAAAAACCAATCAAAATCCATCTTATTTCTGTAATATGTCTTTCCATTCATCAAATGAGACCAAGAAATTCCAAATACAACTATAAAAAACATACGGAAGAAAAACACTGCCAAATTTGCTGTTTTTTAATCGAATAATCATGATTTCATTTTTTTCTCTCATTATTACACAGATTAGTGTGCTGCAGCAGGATCTGTTTTATGTGGGTGCACCAATCCACCTAAAATGTATCTCTCCTATCTAGGCCAAATGTACCGGCACAGTTTATCAGAGTGAGCTGAGTCATGGCATAGATCTACGGTTTGGACCCTGAACTTAAAGCCGTAGATCTACGGGACGGACCCTGAAAGGGTTAAATTTATACTCTTTCATGACTTGCTGCAGCGAAAGAAATGTAGCTTAAATACACTTAAATTTCTGAAAAAGTTGGTTATACATCAAATGTTCATAATTATTTGTTACCCACAAGTTCTACTGGTACTTCACACTCATCATTACTAATGAACATGGCACCAGAGCAAGCAGAAACCCATTCTTCAATAAACCCATAACAAGTCAAGTATATTGTATTGCTGCTACCCAATATCATTCATCTGAAGCCATCTCAACTCACCAACAGTATAGGTCACTATTAGAGGCTACCCCTTTCTCTCATAATTCTTTTCAAATACAACAGTAAATAACCTAGCCATGGTGAAAGTTTGCTATGTGTAGACAGCATCTCCAATTATTTCCACTAAAATAGAAAAGTTTACAGCTTGCATTAGATAATATGTACAGCAGGCAATAGCAACCTCCAATGTGCCAAACAGAGAAAATTAAATCTCAGGATGTGTTGATGAAGGCAATGTCTTAAACTTTAATACTTTGTAACTATTTTGACTATTTACTTTGTAGACACAGCCAGCTTGAGGACAAAGTTGCGCCAGTCGAGTAAGCATCAGATATGGAGCATTTTGATATCGTAGTTGATCGCGCACCAGACCTCCTTCTACGTGTTCCAAAAAACGCATAGTAGATATCTTCCTGTTCTAGACAGGTTTCTGAGAAAGTGTGTTGTTAACATTCATTCAATGCTGCTTGCGACTATCTAACCATCATCAACAGTGTGTTTAAATGGGCCCATTTCCACTTCCCTTATTAGTTTCTTTCTGACGGGTGCAAAGAATAAGTATGTTAGTTTATGCTCTTGCCTGAGGCTCATTAAGGCTACAATTTTAAAAGCACAGGTACTCGCGCTGACTGACTTCCGTTTGAAGGTTACGTTCAAACGAACGGGCAACACAAGTTCAAAAATATCTTAAGTCAATTATGAATTATGGATATGATAAATAAATAGGTAAATTAAATAACTCGTCACAGAGTCACTAATCATTAAATAAACAAAATAATTACTGAACTTAAACACCCAGTAAGAAAAGTTATAAACAAAAAAGTTATGGACCATGCCAGCCTTATTGCTGGGTTATTATCTTAAGTTCCACTCCAAGTTAATGCTTTGCACCATAGTAAGTCGAATATCTAAGTCGAACCATGGTTTAAGTCGAGGAGCAAGGAGCACCCGTAATCTCGCCCCCTAACAAAATTTTGAATACCCCCCCCCCCAAAGAAAAAAAAACACCCTAGGAACACCTTCCTCTGCTTAGCAACCTACTTTCTCTTTTAACAGTCAAATTTACTGGCTGCACGACTAACTAAAGAATACACATAGTTTGCACCAAATGATAAATGACTGAAATATTTATTTTTCTTAGTTTTTTAGACCAACTTTATTAATTTTTTATATATAATCATTTGGTATGTGGTAACCTCATGTTGTTTCAGTAAAATTTGTCAAAAAATGTGGGATGTGGAAAGTCAATGGGAGATAAGAGTATTATTGTCTCAAGCTTACTTGTTTTTTTAGCAATATTTTTTCAAATATCATTTAAAGTGATTTATAATTATGCCCATAGGAACAGCTGAAGTAACGGAAGAGTGATGTGGGTGAGGGAAATTCAATGAGCCTATTTTGAACACATTCTATGGTTGGTTATCAATGTCAATGTTATGCTTTAAGTAAAAAACCAAAATGAACATCTGGCCAGACAAAATATGACTCAATTTTATATTTTTTTTTTTTTTCAAAGTTGTTTGTGGACCAAATGCATTTCTTTATATATGTGTGGTAAGCTTGCAAATTTTTGGTAAACATTCACAAGGAAAAAAAAAATCATCCCATTTCTCATTTCAAGGAATAACATTGCAATTTGTTTTAATGCATTTTTTGACTAAATGGAACACTTGGCTGTTAAACCCTTAAACTGTCCAACGTTTGAATTTACGTTTTTTCACATTTGAATGTAAAAAACGAATTTTTTTTTTTTTTTTTGCATTTGAAAGCGTTTTGTTTAAAAAAAACTCTGATCTAGTTTTTTTTTTATATATATTTGAAAATATGTATAAAAACGTAGAGCTACTTTTGGAGCACTACACATGTGAACGTAGATCTATGTTTGGACAGTTTAAGGGTTTTTTTAAATGAGATGAGGAACCACTGTACCCAAATACAAACATTAAAAATATTTTAACCTGCTAATTAGAAAATAAAAAGCAAATTTTTAATTATAACCACATCTTTGTATTATAGATTTGTCAATAGAATATATGGAGAAATATGAAGCATAACTTCTGTCATTCCTGCCACTAATAACAAAAACAGATACTGTAAAATCAACGCTTGCATATTTTTTTTTTTAACACATCGGCTGTTTGCCACCAAGGCAGGGCGACCAGAAAAAAGAAGAAACACTTTCTATCATTCACTCCATCACTCTTACTAGAGGTGTGCCTTTGCTAGAGTTTAAAAACTACAACACATCAACACCCCTCTTTCAGAGTGCAGACACTGTACTTCCCACCTCTAGGACTCAAGTCTGGCTAACCGGTTTCCCTGAATTCTTTCAGAAGTGTTACTTTGCTCACATTCCAACATCATATCAAGTATATTAACTTTAGTTCATTCAAGTGTCATGTCTGAGACCACTGTATACGTACTCTAACTTTAGTTTCATTGTAGAGTTGAGGGAGAATGGTATCAGGAAGATCACGAACAAGGGAGGGCTTGTTGTGGGCTGCTGAATTAAACGCAACAAGGGCTACACGTCGCACATTGAGATCAGGATCTTGAAGAGTAGACAAGAAGTCACCGATGCAGTGTCGGAGTAAACTGTCAATGGTCGTTGGCTGAAAATAAAAGAGGCAGCATAACTTAATTTAAATTCTTTATTTCCCACATTGATACACTATTTGTACATAATATACGCAGTTCAGAGAGAATACATTTATAATACACAAGAAAAAGCCTTGTGGTTATGCAGGAGCGCTTCAGGCAAAACTTTAAACTAAAAAATACAATAAGCTTTTTTTTTTTCACAACACAGGCCATCTCCCACCAAAGGCAGAAATAACAGAAAAAAGAAAACTCTCTTAAAATTTTTATTCTTTTTATACATCGTAAATATTTTACAGGAAAAATGAGTTACATTACAGAAAATAATAATTGGTTAAAGAACATATTAACCCTTTCACTTTCGGCGTTTATCCAGTAGTACGGCTTACTAGTCCAATGTTGGTGCTGTATTAATAGCCAAATTCTAGCAGCTTCCAATCTAGCAGGTGTGGGAGAAAGGGGGGGAAGTAGAGAAAAAGAAGAGAGAGAAGAGAAGTGAGAAAGGAAAGAAAGCGGTAGACCTACAGGTGGAAAGAGGGGTGTCTGCATGGTAAGTGTGGACATGAAAAAAATTCCTGCTCGCAGGCAACGCACGTGCTTAAAATGAGGAAGGAAAAAAAAAATCAGACTGTGGATTTTTGAGGTGTGTGTTGTGTTCATTGGTATTTATGGTTTGTTATTCTCGTTTCCTTGGTGCTCATTTCACAGAATGGAAGATATATTACAGAAATGGAGTAGATGATTTTCAATCTAAGTTTCACAATGAAAAAGTACCTTGAAATTGCGCTCAAAGTAGGCGGAAAATGTTCGATTTTTGCCATTGTCAAGAGTAAACAAATGACGTCGAGTCCCAATTGTGTCCAACTGGCCAATCAATTACACAGCCACAAATGCAAGTGACATTATTTATACAATTATTACAAGTACTACAGTAGTTGCATACAGTAAAATTTCTATTTTTGCGTGAATAAAAATTTCAAAATGGAAAGCAAGAGTCATTATAAGGGGGCCTGGGACGTAGCTAATGAACAGAGAGAAAAATGTTATTTTAGTTGCCAGGAATATGGTCCTGTCTAGTTTATTCTGGACCCTATTTTGAAATTGTGCTCATCTTTGATATTTGTTTTTGTGAAATTGGCCAAATTTGCCAATTTCTGACCACTTTATTGGGTAGTTGAAATTGGCTAAATGGCAGTTCTTGTACTCAGTCAATAGAAACAAATGGAAAAAAAAGTCTAGTGAAATAACTATGAGTCTTGGTCGATTGGAACAATGGAAATGGCCGAAAAATAGGGCTACACCTCAAAGTGGGTGGAAATCCTGATGCGTAATATATCGCCAAAAACCACTAAACTGTGCTAGGCGTTAATTCCACAGTTTTCAATAAAATTTCATTCTTTTGGTCTGTTATTACCATAAGAAAAAAGATTCTCTATCATTTCATAAGAAAAAAAAACAAATTTTCTGTTTTAAATTTCTGTGACACTGAGAGCACAAGTTTGTAAGCAGAGGTCTCAACAGTGAAAGGGTTAATCGCAACTTTGCATTTATATGGTTTTTAATCCTGGCACAGTTCTATCAATAAACTAATATTTAAAAGGGCAGTGAGCATAAGTTTTACAGTGGACCCCCCGACAATACCTGGGACGCATCGCATTAACGTGCAATCCGCCCCCCCACCCATTCCTGACGCTTGGATCGCAAAAATTTTGCCTCGCCATTACCGCCCCCCAAAAAAAACCCGCTCAGCCCTTCGTCCGAGGAGCGTCCAATTGCGGCCCTGAGCCACGCTACTGAGCCACGCTCACATGTTCCGCCGGCCCGGGTTGGCATTTGTTTTACCCAGCAGCCTCCGCGGGTAACATCCAAGCATACAATCGGAACATTTCGTATTATTACAGTGTTTTTTTGGTTGATTTTTCTGGGGAAAATTAAGTGGACCTGGGCCCAAGAAGTTCTAGTTGCCAACCCTACAGCAATAAGGGGTGAGAAAGAAATTGAGAATTACTATGGAGATGAAGAAAAAGATCATAGATAAGTATGAAAGTGGAGTAGTGCGTGTCTCCGAGCTGGCCAGGTTTGTATAATAAACCAATCTCAAACCATCGCTACAATTGGTGTTACAGCTGCTTGGCTTGTACACACCGTCAGCTGCTGCTGCACTGTCAGCTGCTGCTGCTGTACCACCTCAGCTGCTTGCTGTGCTGTAGTACCGTTCAGTTACCGTCTGCTGCTGCTGTTTCGAATCAGTCTGCAGCTTCTTTTGTAGCATCGTTCTTCTGCTGCGCTGTAGCTCGTCCTGCTTGTGCTTGTCAGCATCGTCTGCTGCTCTGTAGCATCGTCTGCTGCTGCTTTGTAGGCATCGTTGTTGCTGCTGTAGGGCATGTCTGTTGTTGACTTGTAGCATCGTCTCGCTGTGCCTGTGTAGCATCGTCCTGCTGCTGCTGTAGATTGTCTGTGCTGCTTGTAGCATCGTCCTGTGCTGCTTGTAGCATCGTTCTGCTTGCTTGCTGTAGCCATCGTCTTTCTGTGCTTCCTGTAGGCATCGTTCTGCTGTGCTTGCTGTTAGCATCGTCTGCTGCTGCTGTAGCATCGTCTTGCTCTGCTGCTGACTGTTGCAATTTGTCTGCTGCTGCTGTCAGCTTGCTCTGTTGCCTGCCTGTACCTCCGTCAGCTGCTGCTGGCTGCTGTTAGCACCGTTGTTGTGTTGTGGTTATTGAGAATACCAAGAAACAATTAAACCACAGGAGGATTTGCACCCGGATACCCAAAAAAAGTCGGTTGTCATCGAAGGACTGTCCTAACTTATTTTCTTTGGGGTCCTTAAATCTTGTCTCCGGGGATGCAACCAACCCAGTCGAACTAACACCCAGTGTTTGGAACAGGGGAAAATGCCTGTGAACTAAGGCTCATATTGGTGATTTAAAGCCAGGCAAAGGTTAGTTTTGAGAGATTTTAAGAAATAGTTTAGTGGCATCACAGTGTGTAAGGCTGTTCTCGGAAGGAAAATTGCCCAAACAGGACCGACAGTACTCAGGAGGAAAAAGGCAAAACTCCACCCAGGACACAGTGTCTCATCAGTCATGCTGCATCTTCAATAAAGGTAAAGTGTCATTATTCTTCATTTAGTAGACTAGTACATGCACAATATATATTGTGCATGTACTACTCTACTATTGTGCATGTATCCTTCTCTTTGTGTGTAGGAAAATGTATATTTCATGTGGTAAAATTTTTTTTTTCATACTTTTGGGTGTCTTGCACGGATTAATTTGATTTCCATTATTTCTTATGGGGAAAATTCATTCGCATACCGATTATTTCGCATAACAACCAGCCCTCTTGCACGGATTAAGGTCGCTATGCGGGGGTCCACTGTACAAGTAAGTTCTAAGAGTCAATGTTAAACATGGTATACTGAGCAAAGTACAAGTAAGTTCTAAGAGTCACTGTCACACATGGTATACTGAGCAAAGTACAAGTAAGTTCTAAGAGTCACTGTCACACATGGTATACTGAGCAAAGTACAAGTAAGTTCTAAGAGTCACTGTCACACATGGTATACTGAGCAAAGTACAAGTAAGTTCTAAGAGTCACTGTCACACATGGTATACTGAGCAAAGTACAAGTAAGTTCTAAGAGTCACTGTCACACATGGTATACTGAGCAAAGTACAAGTAAGTTCTAAGAGTCAATGTCACACATGGTATACTGAGCAAAGTACAAGTAAGTTCTAAGAGTCAATGTCACACATGGTATACTGAGAAAAGTACAAGTAAGTTCAAAGGGAGTCAAGGTACACATGGTAAAACTGAGAAAAAGTACAAGTAATTCTAAGAGTCACTGTCCCCACATGGTATACTGAGCAAAGTACAAGTACGTTCTAAGAGTCACGGGTCACACATGGTATACGGGAGCAAAGTACAAGTAAGTTCTAAAAAGTCCTGTCACACATGGTATACTAAAAAAAAAGTAAAGTAAGTTCTAAGAGCCCATTTTCAAAAGGTTTATATGAGAAAAAGTACAAGAAAAGTTCTAAGAGTAAACGGGTCACACATGGTTTTACTGAGAAAAGTAAAAAGAAAGTTCAAAGATTTCACTTTTCACCATGGTATACTGAGAAAAGGGCCCCAAGTAATTCTAAGAGTCACTGTCCACATGGTATATAAATCCAAAGTACAAGTAAGTTCTAAGAGCCCAATTGTCACACATGGTTTACTGAGAAAAGGAAAAGGGTAAGTTTAAGAGTCACTGTCCACATGGTATACTGGCAAAGTACAAGAAAAATTTCTAAGAGTCACTGTCACCCCGGGGTATACTGAGAAAAGGTACAAGTAAGTTCTAAGAGTCACTTTTTCACACTTTGGTATCGGGACCCAAAGTAAAAAGTAAGTTCTAAGATTTCACTTTTACCCATGGTATATGAGCAAAGTACAAGAAAGTTCTAAAAATCAATGTCACACATGGTATACTGAGAAAAGTACAAGAAAGTTTTTAAAGAGTCAAATGTCACACTTTGGTTTATACTGAGCAAAGTACAAGTAAGTTCTAAGAGTAAATTTGTCACACATGGAAATTACTGGCAAAGTACAAGTTCTAAGGGTCCTGTCAAAAACATGGTTTTCTGACCAAAGTAAAAGTAAGTTCTAAGGGGTCACTGTCCCCATGGTTTACTGAGAAAAGTAAAAGAAGTTTAAAAAGTCAATGTCACACAGGGTTATACTAAAGCAAAGTAAAAAGAAAGGGTTTAAAGAGTAAATGTCACACATGGTTTACTGAGAAAAGTACAAGTAATTTTCTAAGATTTCCTGTACACAGGGTTTTACTGAGAAAAAGTAAAAGTAAGCAAAAGGTCAATGCCCACCCCTGGAATACTGAGCAAAGTAAAAGTAAGTTCAAAGAGTCAATGTCCACTTGGTATACTGAGCAAAGTAAAAATTAAGTTCTAAGAGTAAACTGTCCCCACAGGGTATATGAGCAAAGTACAGTAAGTTCTAAGATTTCCAATGTCACC